ACATAGTGGAAAAAAATAGTTGAATTTGATTACCAGCATCTTGTATACATGTACATCTATAATAGGAAGCACAAGTCAAGCTTAAATTACTTACATCATTGCAGCAAGTTTGAGTGTTGTATATCCAGCCTTCACGACTGCAAGATATGACCCTCCCACTACTATATGCTCCCAATAGGTTAAAAATGTCATGAAAGACAACATTGAGAAGGCTTGTGCAAGAGGAGATGAACTAAACGATCTGGATGTGAGAGCAGGTTTTAATTTTTTATTATTTTACTTTCATAAGCACAGCATTTGTCATTTACTGACTTTAAATTGCATTAAAATCTATGTGCATGTACATTAATTAATAATGATACAATTCTTGTGTAAATGTGGAAGGAATGCTGGTAATACTGACTTCCTCATAGATTCAATTTTCTGCTTACATACAGCAACCTGACTGTAGAAAGATGTATAGTAAATATTCGATATTGCATGCATGCCTAATAAATATCTACTGTTGAATTTTAATGCACACTTTCCTTAATTCCTTTTATTTGAGTGGCACTTGTTTTCGAAAAAGCTATATACTGTATACCTTGAATGATTTGTTACTTTATTGTAGAGAACTTAAATGAGGATGCTGGACTATTTCAAAAACAAAGTACCCAATTGAGGCGAAAATATAGAAACAAAAATTATAAGGTGAATTTTAATTTACAACAATGACATTATTCCTGATTCTATCGACTATGTTGTGAGTCTTGGTGCAATTATTATATAAAAAGAAAATTATTAATTTTTTGTCTTTTTTAATAGTTGTGGGCAATTCTTATCTGCATAATTTTGATTATTGTTCTGGCAATTGCTGGTGAGTTTTTATTAAACAATTTCAAGTTTTTTTATTTGTTGTATATTATAGGAGTAGTTGCTGGATTGTTAGGATGTCATTTTCATAAAAATTGCTCACTATAACTGTTATAATTGATGAGTTTATATTATTTTAAAAAACTGTTGTCATTGTCCTGTCCTCTGTATATAATAATATTTTATTTATTGGTTTTATGTTGTTACATTGATCAAAAAATTATAAAAAACAAAACATGTTCATGTATAGGAGAATGTTGCATAAAGTAGGCAAAAAAAATAGTATTCAACATTAAAACAATTTTTCCAGTGGATGGTACCCAGTTCTTATAAGCTATACAGCAAGCTTAGAGCAATATACAGGTAGCACAGCCTCACTGATTATTCATCTCTGTCATAATACTAACAGCCATATGCTGTTATTACTTCATGTCTTATCTTAAACTAGATCTATTACTCTACTTGGTTTAACCTATAGTGAATCACATTAATGCGCTGATACAGTGCAGTGATCAGCTAAAATTTACAGTATAATATGAGTGATATTACCATACATATGTACCTATATACTAGTACATCTACTTCCAGTAAGCTGCCATCAAATGCAAATAGTCAGCCTGTCCCCCCCCCCCGCCAAAAAAGACCTGCTGCAATCATGACTGATGCAAAACCTGATTTGAAAGATGAGTTTTAAAATAATAAAGAAATGCACTTTCTTTTTAAATGACACAATAAAATATATTTTGTGCTGTCAGAAATATCAAGATACAAACAAACAATCAAATAATAATGTGTGTGCATGTGTTCAGCAAAAGTTATTTAAATTGTTCATATTTATTAATCATATCATCATACAGTTTGTTAGCTAGTATGGTATCTTCGTCTTTGAGTATTTCTAAAATATACTCAAAAACCTTTCCCTCTTTTTTGATGGAACCTCTAATAATGTCAAGTAGTTGATCCATTCTCTGGTCAGTGGTACGTCCACTGTGTTCATCAGTAGCTTTCTTCTTTTGTCTAACATTTATTATCTTCTTCTCTAATAACTTTTCTGCTAAGAAGTGAAGATCAATCCCACAGCGTCTGATTCCTGAAGTATATTCTGACATCACTCTATAAGCCACTTCAGGTATAACTAGTAAAATAAGACAATAACACATAATTAAAATAGATTACATTAAATCTTTACCTTCCACTCTTCGTCTTTCAGTTGGTGTGGCAGGAACAAGTGATGAACCAACTAATAATAATAATAATAATAATAATAATAATAATACACAATACAAAATACAATACCTGTAGATACACTAGGACTAGCTTGTGCTCCAGTTTGTGCTCCAGTTTGTGCTCCAGTTTGTACTGCAGTAGTGGCTGATGCTATGATGAATACATACATAAAGTAATATTGTTATATTACATGTAGTTACCTGATGGTGTAGTAACAGTAGTGGAAGTGTTTCTTCTTAAAGAGCTGTGAATAAAT